GGGTGAAATGAATGTTAAACTTTCCATACTCTCTGCTTTTCTACTCAAGGTGTCCCTACCACATTCGCCTTCCCCAGATGATAAAGAATAGTGATATCATAATTCTTCAACAGCTCCAACCATCTCCGCTGCCTCAAATTCAAATCTTTTTGTTAAAAAGATATTGGAGACTCTGATGATCAGTATACACCTTACAAGACATGCCATATAAGTAATGCCTCAAAATCTTGAGCATGTTCACAATAGCTGCTATCTCCCATCTCACACTGAATACAAAAGTTAAGGCCCTTAATGAACCTCCTAACCCTCTCCCTCTCAATAGGGATCAAGAACTTACCTTGACGTTCCAACTTCGTGGACCTCATCTCATATTGAGTCACGATTATACCCTCCTGGTGTAAATGCTCAAACTCACTACGCAACTCATCTGTGCGAGTTTATAGGATAAACTTCTCTAAGAAGAGAACTGAGAACTGAGGCCATGTAAGTGATGCGGCGCTAGCTGGCCTACTCAACTCACAGGTCTACCACCAAATGTAGACTGGCCTTGTCAATTTGAAAGCAGTAAAGTCAACTATATTTGAGTCCATTAGACCCAAAGTGCATAGAATCCATTGACACTAATCAAGAAAACCATATTTATCCTCAGTAGGATCTCCACTGAAATGAGGAGGATGAAGTCTCTGAAATCTATCTAGCCTCTTCTGCTCCTCAGTAGTCAAGGATAGTCTAATCTCGGTCTAAGCTGCAATGACTGGTTGCACCGGTAGAACCGTCGATGTCTAATAACCCCGAGTGAGCTGCTTTGGTGTGTGTGAAGCGGGATTCTAGGCTCCTCCCCCAGCCTGTGAGGTAGCTGGTGCAACTACAATCATACCTGCCTAAGCCAAACTCGAGTACACACTCAAAATCTGAGCCAAAGTCTCCTGAAGACCAGGTGTAGCAATGGGTCCCCTTGGAGCCTGAGTCGGTCCCAGTGGCTTAACATAATCTGGAACCAGTTCTTTGATCGTAGCAACTGGTGGCTCCACAACGACTGCTCTAGTGAGGCCCCTAATAGTAGTGCGCTCTACCCCTACCTCTGCCTCGGCCTCTCGCGGCCTGTCCTGGGGTAATAACACCTGCATAGCTGAACTCAATAAACGTTTCCTCGCCACTTGTGAGAGAATAGAAGAGCGAAAATTCAAACTTCAGAACAAACAAATCTGCATGATAGAGAATGAAGAAAGAGAAGTTTTCCTTATAGTTAGGTAGCCTTTCGAAGATAAATACAGAACCTATGAACCTAGGGCTCTGATACCAACTTGTCATGATACAAAACCATCAGCGGACATGATAGCGCCTAACCCACTTACTAGGCAAGCCAAATCATTAAGTCATAATGAAACATAATAAAATATTACGGAATTAAATAAGGCTGAGAGTCAAGTAACAATAGATAAAGACTGCGGCAAAACATAAATCCCCCAAAATTTGGTAATACTGAGTCATTAGATCTAATACAAGAATATGAATATGATAATACAAACTGTTGTCTGAATTAAGTACAGTAATAAAATGGTAGAAGGAGATGCCAGGAACTGCGATAAGGGTACATCTTTACCTCGGTCTCCACGGCAACATAAACAATCTCCAAAATAGGCTCAACTAGGTCCAACTCTCAGATATGTACAATCAAGTGCAGAGTATAGTATAAGTACAACCAACCCCATATATTCAGTAAGTGTCATGACTAATCTCGGAGAGGTAGTGGCAAGAATCACCACTGATACGCATATATTCAAGAATCTCAAATATTCAAAACAAAGCATAACATAGCCTAAAGACTACCCCGAACATGGATAAACTCGGTGCATGCGCATAGGCTCGACCACTTGCATGTACGCAACCCCTAGCACGTAGCTAACATCAACAATTCAAGCAGCTAGTCCCTCGAGCTAAATCGAGGCAAGATACTTACCTCAAACGAGCCAAGTAAAAAACATCTTCCTATGCCAATCGACCTCCGAACGGCTTGAATCTAGTCAAGTAATACATCATGGTTTCTAATAATGCTAAAAGAAATAATTACGAAGCATAAATGCTCGATCTTTAATCAATTGCACAAAGTCAACCAAAAAGTCAACTCGGGCCCACCTCTCGAAACCTGACCATGCTCACAATTTCAACTATCCATTCGAATATGAGTCAAAATATACAAGTTTTAACTAAATTCGACTCCAAATTGAGGTCCAAATCTCAATTATTCACTTCCAAAATCTAGCCCAAAATCCCAAATTTTTACTTTCAGTTTCACGGTTAAGTATACTAATCCATTAGAAAACAAAATCTAATATCAAAATTAAGTAGAAATTAGTTACCCTCCAAAGTATAGCAAAAATCCCTCAAAAAATCGCCTATAGCCGAGTTCCAAAACTCCAATTAATAAAAAATGAGCTAATCCTTCGAAATATAAGACTGCCTAGCTGTTTTCGCATCTGCGGATAATATTCTCGCATCCGCGAGCCCCAGCAAGCGCGATAAAAATCTACGTATCTCTGGCCTTATCTCACTTGGCCAAACTTGCAGGTAGTGGTGGCAATTTTCACCCAAAATCACTAAACCCGCCCAACCCAATACATGATAAGCCCATATTTAACCGCCCATATTAAATAAGGGTAAAAAATGGATTAACCATTTTCTAGCCACAAAAATATAGATTTACACGGGTTCATAACGGGTTGAAATGGTAAAATACAAATGAGAGAAATTATGGGTGGACGCTTCAAACTGCTCCGACAGCTGGGTATTAGGTGCAGGCTTTTAGATATGCCTTTTACATTCCTATGCCATATAGCAAACTATATTACCCTCAATGCTTAACTTTTAATATAATTACATTTTATATATCTAATTACCATTTATGTACATTTTAGGGGTTTTAATGGTATTAATTAGTCTCCTAATTTAACTCTACCGTATATTCTCACTCCCCCCAAGTTTTTCTCTCCAAATCCCACCCCCCACCCACGTATCAAACCACACCCCACGATTTCCTCTTCAATCACCCACTATTTCCTCTTGTAAAACTAGCGAAAATCTGTAACCCCTCCACCATTGACAACCATTAAAAAGCTTTCAAGCTTTGAATTCGAATTTGGGTTTTCAAAAGACATTGTTTGTTTGGATTGGATGTTGTTGCAAAGAATTGAGAATTCTCTCTACGTCTCTCTCTATCTCTCAATCCCAAATTTCAGTAATATAAAGCAAAGGAAAAAAGAGCAGCAATTCCACCATTGACAGCCATTAAAAAGCTTTGAAGCTTTGAATTCGAATTTGGGTTTTCAAAAGTTATTATTTGTCTGGATTGGGTGTTGTTGCAAATAATTTGGAATATGGTTTGGAGTTTATATCTCAATTTTG